TCCCAGGTTTTCACCATTGAGAATTATGCTAGCTGTGGGTTTTTTCATATATGGCTTTTACTGTGTTGAGATATTTCCCTCCAAACCTATTTTGTTGATGGTTTTTATCATGAGTGGATGATGTACTTTGTTAAATGCTTTTGGTGCATCTATTGAAATGATAATATGCTTTTTACCCTTTCTCTTATTGCTGTGATGTATCATGTTGATTGATTTGTGAATATTGAGTGACCCTTGCATCACAGGAATAAATTTCACTTGATGATGATGAATGATTTTTTTAATGTATTGTTGGATTTGGTTTGCTAATATTTTGTTGAGGATTTTTGCATCTACGTTCATCAGAGATGTTGGCCTGTATTTCTTATTTCTCTCTCTCTTTTTTGGTGGTGTCTTTATCTGGTTTGGTATCAGGGTAATGCTGGCCTCATAGAATGCACTTGGAAGCTTCTTCTCCTCCTTCTCCTCCCCTTCCTCCCCCTCCTCCTCTTCCTCCTTTTCTTGTATGTAATCTTTTCTTTTCTCTTGTTGCTTTTGAAATTCTCTTTATCCCTAATTTTGGCCATTTTAATTACTCTGTGTCTTGGTGTGGACCTGCTTGGATTGATTTTGTTGGGGACTTTCTGTGCCTCCTGGATCTGGATTTCTGTTTCCTTCCCCAGATTAGTGAAGTTTTCAGGTGTTATTTCTTCAAATAAATTTTCTGCCCCCTTTTCTCTCTCTTCTTGTGGAATTCTTATAATACAAATGTTATTACACTTGATGCTGTCACTGAGTACAGTATTTTTTCTCTTTCTCCTGTACAACTTAATTGCATTCCATTACTCTGTCCTCAAGTTGGTAATCTGTTCTCTATCCTCTAATCTACTATCCATTCCCTCTAGTGAATTTTTAATTTCAGTTATTAAGTTCTTCATCTCGGATTGATTTTTTTTTAAAGATTTTATTTATTTGACAGAGAGAGACACAGCAAGAGAGGGAACACAAGCAGGGGGAGTGGGAGAGGGAGAAGCAGGCTTCCCGCAGACCAGGGAGCCCGATGTGGGACTCGATCCCAGGACCCTGGGATCATGACCTGAGCTGAAGGCAGTCGCTTAACCAACTGAGCCACCCAGGCGCCCTCTCGGATTGATTCTTCTTTTATGTTTCCTTTCTCTTTGTTGGGAGTCTCACTGAGGTCCTCCACTGTTTTTTTCAAGTCCCATGAGTATCTTTATGACCACTGCTTTAAATTATCTACCAACCATATTACTTATCTCTGTTTTGTTTAGTTCTTTTGGTGTGACTTTACTCTGTGTCCTCAATTTGTCCAGCTCTCTGTCTCTTTCTATGTGTTAGGAAAGTCAATTATGTCTCTTGCTTTTGAGAGTGGTGGCCTGATGAAGAAGAGGTTCCATGGTGCCCTGCAGTGCAATGTCCTGTTTACCAGAACCTAGCACTTTGGGTGTGTCTCTTATGGGTGTTGTGTGTACCCTACTGTTGTGGCTGAGCCACCTTTGCCTTCAGTCTGGTTATTTGCAGTGACTCTCATTGCCTGTTTTGGGCAGGGTTTATTCCCTGTGTTGTTAGTGGGCCCATCTGGGGCTGCCTTGGACTTGAATTGAGTCCGACCAGGCATTTGCCAGAGCTATGGTAGATCTGAACTGCTGGGCACTTTCTTTGTGTTGTCCCCTGAGAAGCTTTTGTTGGCAGGTGGGGCCTCCAGTCAGACCAGATGCCTGACCCCAGTCCCTTGCTGGTATGTGTGGTTATCCTCCCCTCTCCTGGCACAAGAGTCACTTCAGAGTGGTGCTGGCCCCTATTGGATGTGCTTGCACACTGCTGTGCTTGTGGCACCACTTTGGATGGGCTCTGGCCAAGGGTGTATGGGAGGGGGTGGGTCTGCAAGAGAATGTGGGGTGGGGTGCATGATGTTAGCAAGTTTTTTTCAGGGTCTCCTGTGGGCGGAGATCTGGGACAAAAGCCTGGCTGGAGGGGGCCTGTCTGCAGGAGATGATGAGGGTGAATCTCACTGTTAGCAAGCTAGATAGTGTTGGTACTGCGCTGATTCCTGCAGGTGGCCTTGTGTTTATGCAGGGGGTGGGGGAAAGTGGGGGAGGGAAATGGTGCCTGACAGCTCCTTTTATCCTAGATAAGTCTCCTATAGATTCTTGCTCCTTAGGCACATGCTCTGAGATTAGTAAGCAAATCTCCTTCTCTTATACTCTGTTTTTCAAATTGCTGCTTCTATGCTGTATCTCAGCCAGGCTATTTGCTGTGCTGTCTCTTTAATGGTGGGAATTCAGTTTCCTCTCACCCTCCAGGGTCTCCCAAAGCAGAGCCCTCTGATTTTTAAAGTTCCAGGTGTTAAGCCCCACTGATTATAAGAACTCATGACATTAGGCCCCTCTGATTTTAAAAGTTAAATGTTATGGGGATTTGTCTTCTCTTGAGGGCTCCCATGCCTGGGTAATAGGGTCTGCCTCTCTACACCTGTGGTATCCCTCCCTCTCATGGACTGTCCCATGGGGGTCTATTTAGCTCCCGACTGCACTTCTGCTCTTCCCACCCTCTTTGATGGGGACTCTTCTCTGCATTTAGCTGTGAATAGTCTCTTCTGCCAATCTTTGGGCCATTTTCTGGGTTATTTACACTAATGTGGGTGTTATTTAGTTGTATCTATGGGATGAGGTAAGCTTAGGATCTTTCTACTCTACCGTCTTCCCTGGAAATCCAATTTCTTTTTTTTGAATTGCTTTTGAAGGAAGCTCACTACTAAATTACAGTCCCACTTGCAGAAGTGTTCTTTGCTTTAGGTTTTCTGATATAATATTTCTCTTGTATCCTGTCTTTAATACTTGCCTTCCTCCCCCACCTCCCATCAACCCTCAAGTCTTGGGATTTGATTAGCTTGTACAATATTTTTGAAATACTATTTCATGGATTCCAAGAAACATATATTTTCACATTTTAACATCTCTGGAATTGAGGTGTCTTAAAATCACAGGGTGATGTGTCCTTGTTTAATTGGCAGCCTGTTTTCATTCTTTGTGGTATATAAAATGATGGTGATGTTATAATCAATGGTGTCTTAGATCTGATGAACTATGATACTTCCCAATGGGTTCCCCAATTTTGGCAACCTTTCCCCCCCCAATGAAACTTTTTATCCTCTCAAAAGGGAAGAATAATCTGCTTAGGAAGGAGGAATACAGTCTTGTATGGACATTCCAGTCAGGCAGGAATAGACAGTTCCCTAACCTTTCTGGGCTGAGGAGAAAGAGAAAGAATTGAGACTCAAGCGTTCTGACTCCCAGGTTGAACAGAAAGTGCTGCTGGGTGGGAGAAGCAAGATGTAGTATAAACCCAGATAGGCCTGGGACCTGATATAAAACAGGCTTGCTTTTTGCTTCTTGGGGCATTGCTCTAACAAACTGCAAGCCTCCTGGAGAAACCTCATGATGTTGGAACATGGCGCTAGTAGCTGACAAATGGGCAAAGAAGGTACTTAAATGAATGGACTGGAGTTAGCACTTCTAGCTCTCCCACAGCCCACAAAGATCCAGAAGTTCCTGCATCTCCCAGAGGAATGCTAACATAAACTGAGTCCAGGGTGAACACTTGACTGAGCAAAGACCTTGAGCCACTGGGATGGAAGGACCCAATTTGCAGGGCTGTAGCTCAGGGCAGTTAGGACTGTCCAGCAGTGGGGAGACCAGATACTCCTCCCCACTGCCATCTGGAGAAAGAAGCAAGGAGACCTGAATGGGGCTGGGACTCTAAGGGGGGATTTGACTTTGAAGTAACTGAAAATGCCTCGGAAATAACATTTTTTTTAAGCTGGAAAAGACTGAATTATTTTAATTGGCAAGCTTTTGTTTCCTTCATGAGCAAGAATGCAGAATTTGAGTGCAATCTGAACTTATAATTGAAAGTAAAACATCATTTTGTTGAACATCTGAGCTGTGTGTACATTTTAATCCTACTACAGTGGAATCTTTTGGAGGGGGTAGGATATCTTAAATACTGGAAGTAGTCTGGGTTAAAGAAAAAACTGGCTCTGGATGTAGTATTGGAAAATAGAAATATTTATGGTGGTATAAAAGGATGAAAAGGCAGAGAAGATAAGATCAGAACAATGGGAAAACTGGGAGTACCTCTCAGAAGCAAAGGAAGAAGGAGGCAATTGACGAATTCAGTGAAGTGCCACAGAATGTTGAGCTGAGCTCTTGTTAGAAGTCCTTTGATTTGATGAGCCATTTGGAATTCTTGAGAATGGGCCATCCCAATGTGGTACTATTTAAGAAAAAGGTTTTTTTAAAGATTTTATTTTTAGAGAGTGAGTGACTTGAGTTGGGGGAAGGGCCGAGGGAGAGAGAGACTCTCAAGCAGACCCAAGACTGAGCGTGGAGCCCAAAGTAGGGCTCGATCTTCTGACCCTGAGATCATGACCTGAGCAAAAACCAAGAGTGAGATGCTTGACTGATTAAGCCGCGTGGGCACCCCAATGTGGTGCTATTTTAATAGCCATAGTTTTTGGGCACCTGGGTGGCTCAGTCATTAAGCGTCTGCCTTCGGCTCAGGTCATGATCCCAGGGTCTTGGGATGGAGTCCCACATCAGGCTCCCTGCTCAGCAGGAAGCCTGCTTCTCCCTCTCCCACTCCCTCTACTTGTGTTCCCTCTTTGTGTCTCTTTCAGTCAAATAAATAAAATCTTAAAAAAAAAAATAGCCATAGTTTTCCATGGGATGTTAGTGCTGAAAGATACATAGTCTAACCCCGTTGTCTTACAGATAAGCAAATAGGGAACTAGAGAAATTTCACAGAAACCAGTTCAAATGATAAATATGAGGAGAAAAAAATATATTACCTTTGGGAGTCAACCAGAATCAGCCGGTTTTGTGTCATTTTGGGGGAAAATGTATTGGGGCATGAAGAAGCCTCCTCTGGAAATAATGAGATCATTTATGAAGAAGGCAAAAAGTCTGCTAGAACGCATACACACGGACAGGTGTTAAATGTGTTTTAATTTTTTATTAGAGAAGTTGGAAGTTTAATTTCAATATTGATGGTAACATAATTTTCTCTGCTTTGTTCAGAGGAACACACAGAATCAATTTGTACAAGCATATACAATTCAGTTGGTGTTTTGTGTCCTAAAATCAGTCATCTGATTAGCTCTAGACTACCGTTTCCATGCGCTCTTTGCAGCTTTGGCGGCATGGCTCGGTTCCCCGCAGAATACTTTTTCATGCACTGTCTGCAACACAACTACAGCGGGCTTAAAGACCATGCAGATAAACACTGTAGCAAATTGTTTTGATATTGAACAGACGTAAAAAGGTTATTTCCTGATATGAAATTCTGAAAATCTGCATAAATATTTTTGTGTAAAATTAAATTAGTTATGTATTTTTTTTGAAACTAGAACTTGAAGTATCAAGAATGCCCACATAATTCATATACACATATATATAGACTTTTTCATTATGCTTAAAAGTCTTGATAGTCAAATTATATTCTGTGCCATACATTTAGCCAGTGTTTATTTGGCATTAGATTAACTGTATGTGTACGGATTAGTCTTAATGGGTGCTTGTGTATCATGCAAACATAGTTCTAGTATTCCTGTTGACTAATCTTGTCATGTGGCAATACTTAGATGATTTTGCTCTATAACAGTGTGAATTAGGAGTATAAATACTTTATACATGGTCACATTTACAAACGTTTGCCAATAACCACTTCACAATCTTTATGGTGTAATAGTGTATTAGAATGTCTGGAATCGGCAGAAGCAATTCCTATAAAGCAGTATCAGATGTAAACTGTCTTACGTGTGCCTAATAAAGTTCTCCCTTGAGCACTGATGAGTTTTGGCACAGGTACACTGTTCTAATTTTTTTTTTTTTTACTCTAATAATTTCCACAACTTTTACAGGAAATTAGCTTCTTATGGCATGGCAGACACATGGCACTTACTGATGAGGTAACTTAGATGTAGAAAAATCCTGCAGTTATTTGTCTAGCAGATTGCCACTTCTGCTGATGAATTTGTAGACAGAGTTTTGTTATTTTTCCTAGTGCATGCACTTGCTATTGAATCACTAATGCACTCTTTTTGCTGTAGCTCAAACATGTCCTAAATGCATCACAGAGCGGAGTTGTTTACACCAAGTTCATTCACTTGTGATGGTATTTTATAGCAAACATGTTTAAGTTGTAATATCAAGGTTAAACTCTGCCTCACTGGGATAGTAATTTTGGTGGATTCGGAGCTACTTTTGGTTGGCCAAAGAAACCCAATACTCAAAATGTTACACAGACATATGTAAGTCGCTGTGGGTTCAGGTGTAACATCTTGTCTGTACATAAAGGAAACCCAAAAGGCAACAGCCGTCTTGCGTGACATCTGGGTTGGGAAGGTTGGGGGTGATCTCTTGATGCTGGGAGGTTTTGCTGCCTCAGTTTGCGTTTTGGAGATTCACACTACTGTTGCTGGTCTGCGGTCCATCTCGGCTTCCAACTTCCCCATCTGCTGCATCTCCTTCGCCTGCAACATTAGAAACGAGGCCTTACAATGTTGAAATCCTCTCCTAAAGGCATGTAGCCACCGCAGACTCTCTCCGCGCATAAATCTGATGCTGTCACTCTATCCTTGCTCTGCAAAGTGAGGTCCAGGGACCATCAGCATCAGCACTGCCTGGGACCTTGTGAGAAATGCACAATCTTGGACTCTACCCCAGACCTATGGGATCAGAATGTGCATTTTCACAAGATCCCAAAGACATTTTTTATGCACATTAAAGGCTGTGAAGGACTAGTTCTACAGCGTGCCAGGAAAACCATTTGAAAAGAGGCTAAGCCAGTCGCTCAATATTTAGACTATGTCACGTCAAACCATTTGGTTTCTACAGATGGACATTTTGCTTTGACGGTTATTGGAACTTTTAGCCAAAGTGTTGCTTAGGTACAATATTTTCCCCCCAATAGCGTGAAGTTTAATTAATTCCCTAAGAATCTGACTGATGGAGAAGTTTAGGTAGGAGCGCATCACGTTGGTTTAGCTGGAGCACCTTGCAAATAGAACATTACAGGAATATGTAGGGTTCCTAGAATCCTATTGCCCAAAAATTCTCCCTACCAGCTCTCACTTTTTTTTATAGGCTTCATGAAATTGAGTTCACCATGGCTTAAGACTGTCACTAAGACAACCAGGTGGTTTGGGAGGTAGAAAGGAATCTGAGGGCGAGGAAGATTCTGGTGACACGTCAACTTGCTTATTTCAACATTTACTTTCCAACTGGTTTCTGGATGCTTGGGCCCAACCCAATGCATGTATCTTTTGAAGGAAAAATAAAGCATCCCTTTCCTCTTTTTGTGACCTACCACTTTGAAATAAAGGCCATTTAAGAATGGAAATGTGGACATATAAAGATAATACTGAGAGGAGGATTCTGAAGTGCTCTAATATTACTCCTCGTGTCTGCTTAGGTATTCCAACTCAATGGAAGGTCAGTAGGGGGGTTGGGTCAAATCCGAAGATCATCCTACAAGCATCTAGATGTCCCCAAAACTAGTTTGACCCGTGGACATACAGTAATTCTCTTATTTTTATATTATGGCTTTAAATTCCCTTTTGGCGAAGATGGGTGTAATAATAACTAAGAATTTTATCTTTCTGCTCAAATATGGGATGGATGGTTCCCTCTACCTGGATAGTTTTCGATGCCTGAAATATACTAATACTCTGAGAGAGAAATGAGAAATGGAGGAAAAATATACAAACATGAAACTATGACACAAACAGTATTTATAAGAGATGACAGTGAAACAGTATCAGCGCCAGAAATTAAATACTTTTATGTTCCATAAATAGCAATAAAAGATGCCCTATGCTTCTCCCCACTTAGCATTTAAAGACCATATTGAACATATGCTATTAGAGCGAGGTTCTCAGATGAGCAGGGTGACCATTCATTGCCATTTGCCGGGGACAGTTCCAGTTTATGCCCGTAGTCCTGGCGAGTATGAACATCATCCCCTTTCGCTCTCAAAATGATTCTGGTTCAGATAATAAATTATATGGTCACCTTACTTACGAGAGGTGATTAGTGTCCTTGGCAGACCAGATCTAGCAGAAAGCATGACAGGAGTCACTGTATATTGACACTGTATAATGTTTCTGCACGCAGACCATAAGTCTGTCATTGAAAAGCACCAGTGAACTTTTAGTAGGGTGCTTTAACAATGAATTGCAGTCCTATCAATGCTTGTGAAAGAGCTGACTTTGTGACCCAGTCTTAGCTGCGGTCAGTCCAAATGACAGTCATATATCACTGTTCTTGATGCCTGGGTATATCTTCATTAGCATGACCTGAGTTTTCCAGGTCTGCTGTAGGAACTGTTGGTTAAGACTCATAATAGTAATTCGGAAATAATTCTCTAAAGATTTTGGGCATTTCTGTTTGAATATTACCTCAGAAATCCAAGCATAAAATAATCAAGATTTCAAATCCAAACCCTTGAGATAGATACTAATTAGTTATGACCAGATGTGAATCATAAATGGAGAGTGCACCAAGCATACTAACAGAGCTGAGAAGGAAAGCAATGTCTTGCTTATCAGAGTTTTGGGCCTACCTTGTGTTTGGGACACTGCATGGCAGGATTTCAATAGCTGTTTGTACAAAAATAGTAATGTCAAAATTGAGTCATACATATAAAACAAAGAAAATAAATGAATACTGAATAAATGAATACTTGAAAAATGAATGCAAAACCATATAGAGAAAAGCAAAAAGCTAAGAATAAAACATGTATATGCCCACCAGTGACAAACTTCCCCCTCCCCCCCGCCCCCAGGTTGATCTCAACAGAAAAAAAAAAAAAAAAAAAAAAAAAGCAAGCAACCAATGCCTAGGAGTCCAGACTGTGTTCTCCTGCAGGGATGAGTAGGGAACCCTCCCTTTAGCAAGTACCCTCACTTCTCTTTATTAAATGATAGGATTGATGGACAAAAATAAACTTTTAAAGCTTGGGTATGATAGTAATGGAGCTGTTAATGTTGAAATGGTACATGTCAGGACAGATGGCATACTTGTGGCTGGGAGGTCTATGGGAAAATTTAGTAGAAAACCGATCCCCAACCTTTGGAGTTTTAAAGGAAGCATTGGATGACCAAGTAGGCAAGGCCAGTAGGTGGCTTAAAAAAAGAGCACATGAGGTTAGGATCCAGAATCGGAGCCAAATTATATTAAAACTTGAGTGGTTTCTGCTAGTTCCCCTCAATGCTGGTCTAGCTAATTAAGTAGATCTTTGGGGGAATGGGGTGAGTTTTTGGGAGTAGGGTCACAAGGAAGCAGTAAGAAGCCTTAAAGAGATATTATGGATGAATGTTAAAATTATCTTGGCTCAGAAACAGAGAATAGTCTTTGGGTTTAACGAGGGTTTGGGAAACATACAAATTTAGGATTGTTTGGAAATAGGAAACTTTTCTGCCAATGAAATGTTTAATTTGTTATGAAGGGAGCTCTCCTTCCTGATTCCAGACCTTGCCTATGATGAGGGAAGAAATGGAGTCACTGTATCTTTTGCATCTAAGCCTGCTTCCGTGTTGTAACACACAGATAACTAACAGCTCTCTGACCTTTAAGTTCCAAACAAAACAAAACCATACCAGAAAGATCTGGGACTGAATTTGTTATTGAACAGCCCATGTTTTTGTAAAGCAGGGCTTAACACAGAAATTCAAGTCCAAATTCTACCTCTGCTGGAAGCATCAATATGATATTGTGAGTTTCTATTCATTGAATCTCATTAAATCTTCATCAAATCTCAAGCCTCCTCATGATCTGTGCTTTCCTAAGCTTCTGTAACTTGAAGTATCAGCTGTGGGTGGTAGACGTTGCTTATGACATATTGAAATGCATTACATGAATTTTTGGAACAAAAAGCCACTATCCTCCCAAATATGCTCAACCAGTCCAGTTATCACTAATCCAATATATTTTAATGCAAGAATTCTGGTGTGGTTTGAATTCTCCATGTGTTAGGATAAAAGCTCAAAGTGATTTTTTTATTATGTACTTGGACTCTGAAATAAAAAAGGGTAGGTAAGTGTATTCTCTAGCCCTGATATTCACCACTATTGTAGTAATGAGTAATTTTTAGCACATTTACATTCTTTAGCCAAACCTGTTGCTAAGCAACACAGTAATTTCTAAGTAGTTTCTTAATTTAGTTAACTGAAACATAACTGTGCCTTACCTTCATTGTGCCTTCTTCTGAGAGGCATCCTTACCCCACCCAGCCTTGAATCACTGAAGTGGATCCTAATGTTTTGGAGACGGTGGCTTTACCTTTATTCCTACTCCCATTTTGCCCATAGGAACACTTTCTGGGAAGTGCTTTAAGAGCAAAAACATAAGCTAGGTATCCCGTACCAGAACGTGATGTATCTATGAGATGGTCAAATGAATTGGACCCACAGGACAATAAACATTTATTGTCCCCCTTGAGGATCTGTGGACCATTCATGAATAGAAGCATTTAGCTGAAAAGGAAATGTGAAACATAACTCAGAAGTATGCTGATGAATAAAACTTTGGTCTATTGAAAAGTAACAAATCTGAAACCAGAAGTTGGATTTGTTACCCAGCTGCAATACAAAAAAGAAGATTTTATGGTTTTGTTTTACTTTCTCAAAGATACATTTTAGTGTAATTCCAACTGAAGTGTTTTTCAACAGAAGCCATTTACTCTGAGAAATATACCTTCAATAGGATTGCTTTATAGATGGGGGAAATAGGAAAGAACAATGTAGTACAAGTACCTACTTCATCAAACCCTCTTCACAGTTTCTGGATGGAAGGAGATTATCTAGATATAAAAACTTCTAAACCAGCTATACCTAAAAACTGAAATTTGAGACACACTGAAATTTAACCTGCTCTGCAGGGTCATTTTGCCTTATAAGTTAGGGGTATGGCCATCAGTTGAAATAACTGGATGGCCAATGGATTGTGTAGCCCATTTGGGAAAGAGCCCACCTGTACTGTCCTTCAGGTAAACATACAGAGATCTTGCTGTTGCTATCTAACAGCTGATGGCTAACTCAAGGGGTGGATTTTGGATAACTATTGGTGTTGACTTCTTAGTGTTTTGTCTTGCTGGGAAAAAACACCAAGAGCATGGTATCCACTCGTGTTCGGTGGTTTGTAGAGTTTTGGCAGCTCCCTTCTGTGGGTCTGGCTTGGAAGCCCGGAGATGGGTTTTGTAATTTCACTTTTAGACTGAGGTTGAAAAGAGGTGGTTTCTCTCTTTTGCTTTTAAACATAGCAAATGTTTAAAGTTGCTCGCCCCTAGGTTGCAAATTCTAAAGCTCTAAATAAAAATGGAGAAACAATTTGTAACCTTCGTTTTCTCTTCTCAGGGACACCGTTCTTAGAATCATCACCATCTATTCAAATGATGTCTTTGGGTCCCCCTCCCCCTGCCCCATGGCTACATTCCTCTCCCACTTCCAAAAAGAATTCTTTCTGTCTTGTTTGATGAAATGGGGAAAATACAGTAAAAGGAATCATATTTTTACTAGCCACCTTTCCACACCACTACTTGAGCTATCACTGCAGGCAGGTCATCTGCCTCCCAAAGCAGGCTGGCTATGTCTTTTCATGCCTTTTAGGTAAGATACCTGCTCATTCTGTTTCTCTAGGAACTCTAGGTGTTCAAGCTGGACTTTTTTCAATTGATCCATTTCTTTGGACTGCTTCATTGCGAGCTGTAAAAAAGAAAAATTCTGATAAACTTTGGGTTGTAATCTGAAAACTTATGGATAAGGTATGACTGTTAAGTTTACAATTTAACCGAGGGAGACATTTGTAAAAAAAAAAAAAAAATCATGAAAAACAGTCTGAAAACTGGAAGAGTTTAAACCCATAATTATTACTGGGAAGATCTTCCCTGCGAAAATCTTCTCAGAACATAATATTTATGCACAATCAAAGCTTGGCTTCCTTTTCCATATAAAATGGTGCCAAATTAATATCAAGATTTAAGTGATAGATTATCTAACTCTCCAGGAGCAGACAAGAGAAGCTAGAATGTTTAATGTACAGAAAAATCAAATTAAGCAAATTAGCCAGAAGAGGTCTGATATCTAAGCATGAGTTATTGTATACAGTGCCAAGAAAATTACAAAATACTTACTCTTTTTCTTTCTTCCAGAAACTTTTTGGTGTTGCTGCTATTTAACTCCCTGACTCGCCTAAAAGTAATAGGTACAAGTAACAGTTGGCATGACATTGAATAGAACTAACATAATATTACATAAGAAGGCGTTATATTCTATTTAATTCTCTGGATGGGATTATCACTTTTCCTAATTTTTGTGGAATTTTCAGACATAATGTACAGAAAGAAATACAAACATCTTTGTACTGATCACTCAGATTAGTCAGTATTCATGTTTTGCCCTGCTTGTCTCATATTTTTAAAGGAAACAGAGTGTTACAGATATAATTAAAGCCCCTTTTGTATTTTTCCTGATTCCATTCCCCTCCTTTCTTTCTCTCCAGACATAACCACTATTTTGAGTTGGGTGTGGACCTTCCATCCATGTTTTAATATTTTTATTTCCTATGGATGTATCCATTTGTAATATATACAAATTCTTCTCAAATTTTCAGGTGCCTACAAATCAAATGGAGATACTGTCAAAAACACAGATTGCTGGGTCCACCCCCAGAGGGTCTGATTCAGTGGGTCTGGAGTGGGGCCTGAGACTCTGCATTTCTAACAAGCGCCCAAGTAATGCTGCTGGTCTCTATTGCTCTGTGTGTTTTCCAAATTTACCTAAATGGTAACCTATTCTGCGTTTCTTCCTATAACTTATTACTTAGCCTAGTTTCTAGAGCTACAACTGTGTTTCAAGCTATTCCATTACTTTCATCTGTTGTATGGATTTTTTTCCATTTATGAAGAGAATACAGTACTTCCAGTTTGCCAGTAATGGCAAATAGGTTGTTTCCAAACAATGCTCCAATGATCTAGTGCATAGGGCCCCACAATGCTTGACATATCTGTTGACTCAATAAATGTAGGGCATATCTTGTGCACACGAGCAAGGATTTCTCTAAGGTATATGCCTAGATTTGCAGGTTGGTGGGGGAATGAACAGCTTCATCTTTACTCCAAAGCACCTGTCCTTATTTGCATTCACAACCAGGGTCTGAATGCTACCTTTTCTTCAGGTCTTTTCCCACTCTTGGTATTGTAAGACACTGACTTTTGCGTCAACTAGTTTTATGAAGTGGCATCATTACCAGTGAGGCTAGAGTGCTTTTCATGACTGAATAGACCTAGAACTGATTGAATTTCTCTAACAGCTATGGGTCTATTCAGGTTTTCTCCTTCCTTTTCAGTCAGTTTTGGATATTAATATTTTTCTAGGCAATTGTCCATTCCCTTTATGTAGTCTTCATTTTCAAAAATATTGATTAGATCTGCAGTCATTTCTCCTTTTTATCCCTAATATTACTAACCTGTGCTCTTCTGCTGCTTGAGCAGTCTTGCTGGAGGTTCACTGATTTTATTTTTTTCAAATAGTAAGCTTTTGTTTTTGTGGATATTCTTCATTGCTTTTTGTTTTCTACTTCAGAACTTTTTGCTTTTTTATTTCTCCCCATCTGAGATCTTTGGGTTCACTCTGTATTTCTAATTTTATACTCTCTTGAGTATTTAACTCACTAGTTTGCATTTATTTTAAAAAGTATATACACCTAGGGACACCTGCGTGGCTCAGTCGGTTAAGCGTCCGACTCTTGATTTCAGCTAACGTCAGGATCTCAGAGTTGTGAGATCGAGCCCTGCGTTGGGCTCCACACTGGGCATGGAGCCTGCTTAACATTCTCTCTCTCCTTCTGCCCCTCCGCACCCCACTTGCACTCTCTCACTAAAAAAAAAAAAAAGTTTGTAATTCTCACTCTAAATATCACGTTAGCTACCTTCTTTTTTTTAAGATGAAAACGTTTAGGATTTAAGATCTACTCTCTTAACAACTTTCAAGTATATAATACAGTACTGTTAACTATAGTCACCATTCCCAATATTAGATCTCTGGAACTTAGTCCTCTTACAACTGGAAGTCTGTCCCCTTTAACATTTTCCCCTTTCTGCACTCCCTTAACTCCTAAAACCCACCATTTTACTCTGTTTCTAAATGAAATCATACATTATTTGTCTTTCTCTGGCTTATTTCACTTAGCATTATGCCCTCAAGGTCCATCGATGTCATAGATGCCAAGCTTTCCTTTTTTAATAGCTGGATAATATTCTGCTCTGTGTGTGTGTGTGTGTGTGTATGCAGACATAAAATGGCATTTTCTTTATCCATTCATCCATTGATGGGCACTGAGGTTATTTCCATGTCTTGGCTAGTTGAATAATGCTGCAATGAACATGGGGGTGCAGATATTGCTTTGGTATAGTGATTTCATTTCCTTCAGATAGATACCCAGAAGTGGGGTTGTAAGATTATATGGTATTTCTATTTTTAATTTTTGAAGGAACCTCCATATTGTTTTTTTTATAGTGGCTGCACCAATTTACATGGCCCCAACAAAGCAGAAAGGTCCTCTTTTCTCTACATCCTCACCAACACTTGTTCCATTTCTTATATTTTTGATAAACAGCCATTCTAACAGTTATGAGGTTTTATTTCATTGTGGTTTTGATTTGCATCTCCCTGATGATTAGGGATCTTGAACATTTTCCATGTACCTGTTGGCCATTTGTATGTTTTCTTTGGAAAGATGTCTACTTAGGTCCTCTGCCCATTTTAAAATCAGATCATTTTGTTGTTATTGAGTTGTATGAGTTTCTTATACTTATTTGGATATTAATCCCTGATACATGGTTTACAAATATTTTTTCCCATTCTGTAGGTTGCCTCTTCATTTTGTTGATTGTTTCTTTTGCTGTGTGCTTTAGCTACCTTCTATACATGGATAGACAGTACTTGCATGGTGGTTCAGTTTTAAATATTGCATAATCTCTGTTGAAATGTCCTCTTTGACTTGGGAATAAAAGTGTCAGCTTCTATATGTCTTTCTAAGCTATCTGATTATAACTTTTAAAATTTTATTTCTCAGTACTTTGTTAAAGTGGACACACATACACGATGTTTGTGTTTAGAAGGTAACCATTTTGCACACAGAAATTATTTTAAAAACCAGCCATTTGTAGACGTTTTAGAACCACCTACCATGTTGACAAAGTCAAAACAAAACAATTAACAAAGTTTTTAAGTTATCAGTAACTTAGAGTTCAAGATAATTTGACCTCAACTGGGCTGAAGTCCACTTTGTAACAAAGAACTGTTTAATGATTAACACATTTATCCTACTGAATTCTGTATTTTACTTCGGGGAATCTAAAATAGTTCAAACTGATGAGGTTTTATCATGGCTGGAATATTTTACGTTTTTGGGCTAAAGCAGATAATGTCATTTCCACATATATAAGGCCTTTAAACACAGTTTCTTGTCTGAGAATAAACAAACAAGAACCACAACAGGATGGTGCAAAGAAGTATTGATTAAATTGAGTAATAATTTCCCTAGATGCTCCATGTTGACTGGGAAATTTCCCGGCCAACATTTTTAAAAGTCAATTCATTTCCAAGTCCAATTATTGTGGAATTCCATATCCTATTGATGACCCATTCCCAACTGTACTTAATTCAACAACACTTCTGCATGAAAATGCACTGGATGGTATTATGTTTCATATTTTATCATATTTCATGTTTAACATCTTTATTAATAAATTGAGTTGTGCTTTAAAAAAAAATCAGTGAAATTGAGGTAGTTGGATAGCAGTTCTCACCATGTTCAAAACAAAGAGGCAACATCAGGTATCCAGTAAGCCTCCGTAAAAGACCACGTAGACAGGGAGACTGTGAAACACAGGTGCTTTCCTTTGCAGCTGCAAAGTTCTCCAACAGCTCAGCCTATAGCTAAGTGAGAGCTCAGTGCCTTAAAGCCCTCAACATGCTCATGTCTCAGTCCCAAGAGCTAATCTTCACTTGGCTCTATATTTTAGGATCACTGAGAAGCAAGTGCTCTCAACTCCCTCTCTTGGGTAACACGACTCCTGATGAACTCTCAAATCCCCTTTACCTAAAGGGCTTGCACCTGGGACCTCCTCTGGAGATAACACACACCTTCCGCTAGCCCCAGGTGGCAAATGGCTGACCAACACGGAAGTACAAAAGCTAGATGCCCTTGGTTCAAAGAGATCGGTGGTGCAGCTTATCCTCCAGGGCTTGCGATCAGGCTGAAGAGGGGACTGTAGCTGAGACCAATAAACCTTTGCTCAGTCACTGCCTTGAACCCTTCCTGCTTCCCCTATTCCTCTTCTCTGAAGATCCCTTCCTCAGTAAATCACATGCACCCAAGTTCCTGTCTTGGTCTCTATTTCTTAAAAACTCAACCTAACATAAGGTCAAACCAGAAAACCTGGGGACTTTTGAGATGATCCCTGGAGTCAGGGACAGCACCAAGCAAATCAAAGAAAGAGGACTGCCTTCCTACAGGCTGCTAGTCAGAACCATCCCATCCAGAATGGGCCCATACCTGAGCAGGTGAGATGCTTGCAGGATGACCCAATGGAATGTGGGAAGGATATTTTGCCATATTTTATGCCATTTGGTTTGTAGATGAGCACACATATACTGAACGTATTTATTTTACTGGTAGTAGTGAACAATCAGAAGACAAGTGTTCTATAGCAACAACAATAAATCTTCGTAGCGGTTATAACAGCAGAATTCATAGCCAACACTAATAGGGATTATGAGTAGTGTGTGTATATGCACATAAATGTTGTGTTTGTTTATGCCTCTCAGCCAATGCTCCATCCCCACAGTGAGCACTCTCAGGCTTACCTTTCCCGTTCTGCTTTGTTCTTGATAGATTTATCTTGGCTGATGGCTTTGCTGTTTTCCATAGAAATCTTAGCCTGGTGTGCTCGCATTTCCTTGCTTTCCCTAAATATTAAAAGTAAACAAATGGGGGTTGGGGGGAATGGAGAGTTAGTGTTTAGTGGGTACAAAGTTTCAATGGGGGAAGATAAAAAAGTCCTGGAGATGGATGGTGGTGATGGCTACACACAGTGTGAGTGTACTGACTGCCACACACTTTTAAAAATGGTTAAAATGGGGGCGCCTGGGTGGCTCAGTCAGTTAAGCGTCTGCCTTCGGCTCAGGTCATGATCCCAGAGTCCTGGGCTCGAGTCCTGCATAGGGCTCCTTGCTCAGGGAGGAGCCTGCTGCTCCTTCTTCCTCTCCTCCTGCTCCTTCTCTCTCTCTCTCGCTCTCTCTCAAATCTTTAAAAAGTGAAAATGGCAAATTTTATGTTATGGATATTTATAATAAAAAATAAATGCTACATATAACAACAGAACTAGGTTCACTTTTCCCCCCACTATTGAGCTCATCGAGTTATTTTATATCCTGTGAAAAGGAGGGAAAGAGCCCCAATCCATGAGAAGCAGAGGTGGGTCACCTACTAGGGAAGTGACCATGATGAACTGGGATGAAGAGTCATTACATTTGTCCATAAAAATATAAAGATTTTCCAGCTTTGCCCTACATTTCTTGGGATCAGATGGCCTGGAGGAGAGAGAGAGGATGTTCTGACCCTCACAAGTGACCTTCATGTTCTATGACAGCTCATGGGAATGAAGGGGACTGAGTAGTTTCAGATAAGCATGGGTTGTAGGGGAAAAAAAGGATGTTTACATTAGGCCACTGGATCCCTGCATGTGCTGGAATGTCTGTGTGCTCATGAGAAAGACTCATAGATTATTTACTTGTACATTAAAGGTATACATTTTAGAGCACTGAAATGAGTATTAGCAAAGAATTTTTTCTGGAACCTACAGAGGTCTCCTTGAAACCTTGCCTGAAAATGAGTGACTAAGGAGTCAGGCAGTCTAAGTGGTATCTGCACTGTATCAAAAGAGATGAACAACACTGAGCCCCCAGAGGTAGGAATATGCATAGAAACTCCTGGGTCCAAGAAAATGGCTCTCCAGTTGTTCCTTCAGTTAGTGTTAGTCAACTGACCATTACTTTATTCATTCATTCAACAAACACGGCTCAATGACCAAATGTGGCTGACCAGTCTTAAGAGGGCAAGATTTTTTTTTAACCAAGAGCTGTGATCGTGAGGAAGACACACAACCACAGGGTGCTTGAGAAAAAGCCCAAATGCTGTTGTTACTTGGAAAAATGCCCCGGCCGTGCACTTATTTTTTAAGCTAAACTAGTAATTAGATTATGTTCTCTTCAGATAACTTCCTAAGCAACACAAGAATTAGTTTACTTTCTTTTTTCCTTTTGAAAAATGCTTACTGTTGAGGGCTAACTTTTTTCTTTATTCAATGACAAGAAAGAGGAGAGAGGAGCACCTTGTCCTGTGAAGTATCTTTGGGGAAAGAGGGATGCTTACAATCTGGTACCGCGGTAGCGGTCAAAGACAGAGTGGTGAGCAGACCTTTTTGTGTACCGAATCAAGAGCATCTTGCAAGGCAAAAAAGAAAAGATCACTCCTAATCCTATACAACTTCATAGAATACTTTAGAATGGACAGGGTACAGACCACTGACCTCCAGCAAAATTAGCATGGTCTACCTCATTTCGTTGCCTTGAATGAGAATTGGGCAACGATGGCAAGATGCTTCACATTCCTACGGCCGGATCCATCACTCCAAAACCAGGCTGGGAATTCATGAACGCGCCCAGATAATTTATGCAGTTAGCATTTAAACACTTTTTTGTTTGCTTTGTTTGTACAATGCTTCAATTTTCTACTCTTTTGTGTGTATCAATAGACCGTAACAGTGGCATATCAGAGGCATGGCGAGCAAGCTGTAAAGGCTGTGATAAAAGGATGTAATTGACATCGACACTCTTCTGCTGGGGGCAGGGGCGGGGGAGTCTAGCTCATCATTTGCAGAATTTTAAATGTAATATTCAATTCATAAACCAATGCTTCTTTGCTGTTTCTTGATTAGGCCTATCTTTCTAAAATTTCTAGAAGTCCTAATCATGTAAAGAAGGATCTCACCACATTTAGCCACTGAGTGATCAGATCCAATCTGATCGAGGAGCTTAACTGGTTGGTCTTTGTCTCCTTCCGTGTCCTCTCTCCTAAGAGGCTCCAGGCCATTTTCCAAAGCCCAGTGTTGGCCCTAACACTCCCTGAAGCCTCCATGTGAAGCCTCCTGTGAAGCTACTAGGGAGGCAGCAGAGTTCCTTCGGGCTGTGCTTTTTAGTATGCATCGTATACTATTTGTAATTCAACTTCATTTTTCATGTGAGTGATAAGACCTTGCCAACACTTGAAAGCACTTCGATGGCAGAGGCCATTGCTTATAGTTTGTGTAGCTCACCTCAACCGTACAACATGATACACGTAACAGCTCAGTGTTATTACAAAATTAGGAGTTCCCTCTGGAGAAGGCGCACTTGCCTACCTGTCATGGGACAGTTTCAGCTGCTGGGTTTGCTGCTCATGGGCATTGATCAGTAGCTTTCTCAGGAGCTCACACTGCTGGCTGAGGTGCAGGTCCCGGATTTCTTGCTCCTCAGCACTGTGGGTGTTGATCATTTCTGACCACTCCTTTGTGTGCTGGGCCACTATCTCTTTGACCTGTGTGGGGGAAAAGGGGATGGTGCCACTTGGACCTCTCACAGATCAGGTTTGAACTGAAAGCACATCATGCATTTCAAATCCCACCCACCAATTTAGCTGGTGAATCAGTAGACACTCCAACTGCAAAAAATATGTACTAATCCAGGGGACTCAGGAAGTCCTAGCTTCTTAAAATAATCAATTGCTTTGGTTCTAAATATTCTGCTATGACCTATGATTTCACTGCTTAACTTGTCCGTGTTTCCTTTTGTCTGGACTCTGGGCTTCTTATGGATTCTCTCAGCTTCTCCTCATCCTTTTCCTCCTTCACATCCGCATGGCCACAGTTCTGAATGGAGAAGCCCTAGGTTCTCTTTATCGCTGGATTATGACTCATTGTGTCAACCCTACCAGATGTTGGGGTAGAAAGTCTTCCCCTCCCTATATCCATGCTCTTTGCAGTGTGGTTCTGTACCTTCCCTCATCAGGATCTAGCGTCCATTTCTCCACCTCCTTAAAATTGGCCACCCTCGGGACTTGTTTTAGCCACGAGACAGTAGCCAATGTGGTGCAAGCAGTAGTTTGGAAAATGCTCCCTCTTTTGCTGTCTGGAATCCCAAGGCTGCCTTGGGACAGAGCCTGTGCTAGCCTGCTGGAGGACGAGAGGTCATACAGGAAAAAGCAACCAGCCGCCAGCTACCGACCTGGTGTCTGAGTACAGTCATCGATCCCAGCTGATGGCAGACACACGAGTGAGCCCTAATCACAATCCCAAGAACTACCCAACTGAGGATAGCCCAAATTCTGACCCACTCAATTGTAAGGTAAGGGGCACCTGGGTGGCTCAGTTGGTTGGGCGGCTGCCTTCGGCTTGGGTCATGGTCCTGGAGTCCCGGGATTGAGCCGCGTGTCAGGCTCCCTGCTCAGCGGGGAGTCTGCTTCTCCCTCTGACCCTCCTCCCTCTCATGCTCTCTGTCTCTCATTCCCTCTCTCTCAAATAAATAAATAAAATCTTAAAAAAATAATAATTGTAAGGTAATTACTGGGAGGTGTCTTAAGTCACTAAATTTTGACCTGGTGTCCTGTGCGGCAAACTGATATCATGGCCAAGGTTTCTACTTTCCTATCTGTGCAAAGCTTCTAGAAGTCATGGCATGGTGCACGGACACTAATTCTCAAACATTCCAGTTAAGAAGAGAGAGAGTGAAGAACAACTCTCAAAGACACATGGCTTCCTGCCTTTGTAACTTCACACGATGGACTCAAAACACATAGCACCGAGGAGAACCTCCATTTGAACCGTGGGGCTCGCCCATGTAGGCAGCAGGGCCACGGGGCGGATGACAGAGCTGCGTGGAGACACAGGGAGGCTGGCTGGTTTGACCAAAAGCTAGAGCTGGGAGTTTTAAGAGTACCACCCCTCCTCTGTAACTATTATTGCTAGAAGAATTCTTTGCATTCTTGACTGGAACTTAGTGCTCAGTTCCCCAAAAGCCCGCAAACTAATAAATCTCCCAAGTTCCTATTTTCTTGTGTTTTGGGGGAAATATGAGTAATTGGGCTCATCTCCTAGAATGTCAGCTCTTGATTTTATTTATTCCATTCTAACAGCAAAGTTAGAATGGAATAAATATCAAAGAGTTACTAACAACCCTCAGGTTGGGTGGGTTTTTTGTTCTATGTTTAATGTTACTTCTCTAGAGAAGCTTGTTCTGTATTTTATATAGTATTTGTCCTGTTTCACTTGATGCCCCAGAGGCAGGAGGCAGGCAGCATAGACAGACTATATGCATATTTCTACATATGAAGAAAAAGATGTTCCAGGAAATGGCCCTTCCCAAAGCCAGTGAGTCTGGAACAAATGGGAATGACGATATCTCTTGACTTCCCAGACCAGCCCCAGGTTACTGTTATTTCTGATTTATGTTAGGTAAGGCATCTAAAAAATTACAAAGTATCTTCTGCAAGTTCCTGCTGTAAAAATAGTCATTTTCTTACCTTAGATTTGTGATCTGATGTCAGTGTCTGAATTTTAATTTCGGTTTCTTTTTTCATTTCGAGACAATTACTTCCCCTGAAAATGGAAAATCATAAACATGTGCCAGATGTTAGATATCTTCCCATTCCCATGGGCCCTTGCTCCAAAGCTTTCTAATGAAGACAATTTGTTCATCAAATATGGGACGCCATGGCTCATTGGGCAACATCAGTATTTCTAGTAATAGATGTACACCTTACAAAACATCCACATCGTGATTACTCAATTCAACCACTACACAAAGAGACACTTCACATCTAACAATGATTTCATTGTGAAGGGTCTGTTGTCAGAGTTTCCATTTTGGTTCCTGCTTTTCTTGAGGCTAATTTTTCATTTATTCAATAAAATATTATTGGAGATAATAACTAGAAAAGAGGTCCTCAGCCTGGAAGTGAATTTTTAAATTCTTTCTGGTTATAAAGCCAGATTTTTGTCTTTTACACAAGCCAGCAAGGCAGAAAATAGCATTTCTTGGCATTATAGGGCAATTTTTGCTTCTTATTCCATTGTGACTAGGAAATACATACGAGGCAATTTCCCAGCAACCATTACTGCTTATTTCAGTGATAATTTTTCCCTTTTGGAATATCTGTAGCATTGCTGAAACCAGAACAGGTCCCGAGCTTCTGTCTTCAGCATATACGCTCTGATGTATTATGGCCTAAGTGAGAATGCTTCATTATCTTATTGAGAACGTCTCTGAGAAAAGCATTATTCTAAAAATGCTAGGACTCTCATCAAATCTATTACTTCTCAAGGGCTGGCACCAAGGATGCTCTCCCTTTAGTCTGTTACTTGGAGCTTGTGGCATCACAGAAACATCCCCTGGGCTTAATTCTAGACAAAAATCTTTTATGGTAAATGCACTGATAGGGTTTATTTAACAGTCTTATCTGTTGGCATAAGCTAAAGATTCTTCTAATATTAAAAATCGAGATTGCATTTTTTTCCCCACAAGTGCATCAAACCTATTTTCTGGCTATGCAAAAAGATTTCTGTAATTTCAAAAGTTCCCAACTTTAGCTTGTCCTTCCTTCTCCCCCCGCCATTCACCTTAAAGATACCCAAGTGGAAAACACATGAGGGACATAGTTACGGTGTCATCAACCAATGGCTGTCCAACTGGAATAAAGCTCCTATTTTCTACTTCAATCCCTGCCTTCAGTTGAATGAGTCTCTCATTTTCCAGGAAAAATTTTTAATGGGATGAAAACACAGTCAAGACTAAGTTCTGCCTTGACCTATGCAGTTAACTGAACTGTGGGGAAAGACAAAATATAAAAAGGCAAAAAGCTTCCAGAAGGAAATAAAGAGCCATTACCCCTTCTTCTTCATGGCCTTCTCTAGGATCTTCTCATGCGTCGACTTCTCTTTGTCATACTGTGCCACAATTTTGTCAACTTGTGTGCAGTGCAACTTCTGCATCGTGCTATGCTCCTGAATGAGAAGAATCTGCCATCACAAGTTGGACTCTTCCAGGGTGGCTGACAAACTTTATCTATGTTGGGCTGGCACGATTCTCAACAGCTTTCCCAGAACCAAGGTTTGAAAACGAGGAGTAACCAACTCTGAGAAGCGGAAGGACTTCCAATCTCCCGCCCAACACAAGAGTTTCTTGTACAGGGGTATCCCCAACAAGGGAGTGTCTAGCCTCAGCCTGAAGAACATGCCCACCTCAAAAGGCATCCCTGCCCACTACTGGGCAGCACCAATCATCCCAAAGTCCTCTCTTCGACACATACATGTTCTCCCCAGAACTTCTACCCACTCGTCTTTGTTCTGTTGGAGACGCCTAATTAGTCCACAGCCCCTACCACACACTGGTTCTCAAATACCCAAGTTCAGCTACCACAGTTTCCCTCTTTCACATGCTAAGTATAACTATTCACATGTGACATGGTTTCTAAACACCCAGCACGTTTTTGGAACGTGCTAAACAGTGAGAATTGCCAGGGGTTGTCACTGTCAGCTGACTTCAAATCCCCATCATACCTTTAGAAGTCGTGGAGCAGGGTGGTGCTGGGTGGGGAGATTCTCAGGACAGGAACTGACAATGGGGACAACAGAGTGGTCCAAGGTGATGCTATCTGGCTGTGGATTTGGGGTCAGGGAATCGTATGGAACAGTATCATGCTTAATTTGTGGTTGGAAGGCCTCATAAATCTAGCCACATTCCCAATATGTGTGTACTTTGTGTTATAAACACATTTCAGCCGGGGCTTTTGCAATGTGGTAGATTGGGTTAAGGGCATGGGTTCTTTAGGCTTAAATCCTGGGGCAACTCATCTAGCCTCTCGATCTGTTCATCTTTGTAAGTGGGAGAGCGATACCTAGTTTACAAGGTTGTTAGGACTAAAAGTAAATAATCATTTCAAATGCCTGCTACACCTTATTCAAAATATAGTAACATGTTCATATTATTCAATATCCATGATAACATACAGAGAGTGACTTGGGATAAGGGAGAGCAAGTAGAATGATTAAATAAATAAACATTCCCTCCACACTGAATCAGCTGCCTCAGGCATCAACACATTAACATCTCATTATTTGAATGGATTTAACTACTCTTGTATTGTGTGGACAACAACGAGCCTACTAAAATGTCCTACTAATAGTCTTCCTTTTAAGATTTAAAGGCATCACGCCTGCCCAGCCCAAGTGTTAATTTTCCTGGGCAAATAAATAAGGGACTCTATGCAAGTGCAGATTCAAACAGATTAGAATCATCTTTCCTGTGTGATCTTTCTGCTTTCCTGTTTCTTGCAAGTATTGGGAGGGAGGGTGGAGAAGATTGTTCTTTAAATAGCCTAGTGCAGCACAAGAAAAGGAAAGGATTTGAAGCTTGGAAGTACGTTGACTATTTCTTAAGGAAATATTCTGGTGAATCTTATTAACCCAATTAGAGATGAGGAATGAGGCTGTTTGTGACAAAAGGCGTTCACGATGGATTCCAGTAGGTTAAGATATTCTCTATGAAGGCAGGGCAAGTCTTTGTTCAGAGGTACATGACGCAAAACTTGGTTCATAGCAGGTGCTCATTAAATATTTGTTGTACAAATGAAAAAATAGCAAGGGAAAACAGCAGGAGCACTTGGATTCTGGTCTTAGCTCAGTCAATAATTAGCCAAGTGGGGCCTTGTGAAACTTATATAAATCTTTCCAGCCCTCACCTTCTTTCTTAGAAAAACTGAACAAGATCCATTTGCCCAACCTCATTCATGGGTTGGTTATGAGCTGCAAAGTTACCGAATGTATGCAGGAATAATATGGAAAATTAGGGGGTACCTAGGTGGCTCCATCGGTTAAGCATCTGCCTTCAGCTCAGGTCATGATCCCGGGGTCCTGGGATCGAGCCCTGCATCAGGCTCCCTGCTCAGTGGGCAGCATGCTTCTCCCTCTCTCTCTGCCCCTCTCCCTGTTTGTGCTCTCTCTCTCTCAAATGAATAAATCTTTAAAAAAATATATGGAAAATTAGAAGCACATTGAATCGAAATGATTACTGTTAATACAAATAACAAAGTTGGTCTTGAAAAAGTATCTCTGTGTTTCTCTACATGCTCAGAATGATTCCTGTGTGGTAGGAAGTGGTCACAGAAGTGTGTTAGGATAATCTGGTTTCCAGACACCACTTCTCCATTCACGAAGGAACGGGCTCCTAATTATGTGATGGTGGTGAAGCCTCAGATTCCTGGAGTGTAAAACAGAGGAGCCAGGAAATGGTCTCTCCGTCCATTTTAACTCAGAAAAAGCCTATCACTGGTTCTATTCTTTGGTCCTTAATTAAATCATGAGACACTACCAAAGAGGCATACATTTTTTTCATTCATTCAGGTCAAGAGTACCAAAATTAGATGTGTTGACTGAAAAGGCAATCTTAGTTGGGTTATTTTTGGGGAGAATACATATACAGTCTTTAGCAGAATTTATAGGTTTCTTATTGGAGTTAAGAGTAAATTCAGCTTCTTTTGGTACAGACTTCTGCTGCAATTCATTCTTGTGACTGATGCAGCGTGGGCGTGAATGATGTGGGTGTGAATGACTGCACCACAGATATTGCTGAAAAATTGCAGTAAGGCATGTTTGCTCAGCATGCAACTCTGAGGTCACCAGTAAGCTGCCTCTGTGGGTGGCTGCCGTCTCTCTTCCTAACAGAGTTTTGGGTCTGGCACTGAGGTCTTACCATTAATTACAATTGATGAGTTTAACAGCAGTCTTGATGTTATCAGCTAAATTGTTTGCATAGCAAAGAACAAATTTTCCATCAGTAGCTTTACTGAAATGCCAAATATTGGTCGGTTTCTCAGGCATTTCACTGGACTCATCTGATGGTGATGCTGCAAACTGGTGGCCCCAGGGATGCATCCAGCCTACAAATGTAAGATTTCTCCCTCCTCTACATGGTGTTTGGAGAGAAGACTGAACTAGGGACCAATATTTAAAGATCTGGAAGTTCATATAAGATTTCAGATTTTATGAATCCCCTTTTGAGAATGAAGCTGGCCCATGGACTCTCAAGGCACCAGTGGTGGGAAGCTAAGTCTGATTTGCCTTTTGTATGGGAATGAATGCTCTTCTGCTCTCTCTAACCAACTTCTTTCATTTACTTATTTGGTCCCTGTAGGAATTTAAGTTGTAATTGTTCTTCTAACATGTTATTGGGGATACTTACCCAACTTTGGATTTTATTTGCTCTAGGGATTTGACCACATCAGACAATTGAAAAGTATGCCCATTTCTTACTGAAAGAAACTCCAGTGTTGGACGCCAGTGAGTCACGCATTAGGGGAGATTACTATTGCTTAGTTCTGCTTTTGCTCTCTCTCATCTAATGGACACTTGAAAGCCATTCCCCCTAGTTTCCATTTCAAATTAGAGAGGTGGTTCTAGAAAGTGAGAGACACATAGGAGTCTGATTGCCAGCTGCCCTCACAGGGTCAAAAGCAATGGCCAATGACCACTGCCAACTGCCAAATTCCAGGTATGTTAACTCATAGCCCAATCTCACTGGGGGCTGACATGGTCATTATCCCTGACTTTTCTGCTTGGTATCCTAAAAGCAGCTCACACACCTATTTCTGTGTCCCTCTTGCAGAGGGCAGATCCTCGTACACCACAATTCCTCCTCACCCTGTAGCTAACCAAGGTTGGAAGGATGATTTCTTTGGCATAATACATCTGTGTCTTAAGCCACTGGGATTTAGCTCTTGGATTCTCTCCTTCCCTGTAGGTCTAAGCAGTGGCATTACTTACCTAGGCTGATGTGTGAGAGCTGAGAGTGCCCTACAGTCATAATATGGACTGAGTAGGAGTCTCTGCTCTCAGCTACCAACTGCTAAGGTGGATGGCTTGGATGCTGTGGTTAGGAGGATATAGCCTGGGCCAGGTTCCCTTCTCGGTAGGTTACTTTATAACCCAAGGCCTTAGGGTGGCAAATCTTAGCCCCATCTTAGGGTTGTAAGGTGTTGTTTCACAGAAGGGCTGGGGGTATTTATCATTATTGCTTGACAACAGGTCAAAATCTGTTTTTGTAAGGAGGCCTCATCCTCAGCTTGCAGGAAATTACAGGGACTTCCACTAAGGGATCAAAGGACATAATAGAGTACCAAGTAATATTCCTAAAGAAACAATTCTCAAAATGTAATGTGTGCAGGAGAGGCACTTACTTAAATTTATTTCCTAGACCTCTTCTTGGAGATTATAATTAAGTCTCAGATGCAAGAATATGCATTTTTTTACAAAGCCTCCACCTCTTGGTTCAAGGATCATATGTGGAAAAAGTCTCAAAGCGGGCGCCTGGGTGGCTCAGTTGGTTGAGCGACTGCCTTCAGCTCAGGTCATGATCCTGGAGTCCCGGGATCGAGTCCCACATCGGGCTCCCTGCTCAGCAGGGAGTCTGCTTCTCCCTCTGACCCTCCCCCCTCTCATGTGCTCTCTCTCTCATTCTGTCTCTCAAATAAATAAATAAAATCTTAAAAAAAAGAAAAACCTTTAAAAAAAAAAAGAAAAGAAAGAAAAAGTCCCAAAGGAAGCCAAGATATTTGTGTTCTAATAGAATTACGACTGGTTTTAAAAACCTTTTACTAAGACCATCAAGAAGATGTGAGAAAGAAAAATCAATGTGGGAAAACTCAGAGGTAATGCGGTAGAGTGGTTAGGAGTGTGAATTTCACTACTGGGTATTTACCCAAAGAAAACACTAATTCCAAAAGATATATGGAGCTTTGTAGTTACAATAGCCAAGATGTAGAAGCCGTGCAGGTGTCCCCTGATAGACACATGGATAGGAAGTTGCGGTGTGTGTATATGTACACACAATCACACACATATATAAAATGGAATATTATGCAGCCATAAAAAAGGATGAGAGCATCCCATCTGCAACAACATGGATGGACCCAGAGAGTATTATGGTAAGTGAAGTAACTCAGAGAAAG